ATTTTAACTTAATAACACAAGTCTGCAATTTGTACCATTAATGCACAAAAACAGATTTGGAGATGAAAATATATCTCACCGCCTCAATGTAAGTATGAGTACAATACTAGACCATAGAACATATAAACATGATATCAGGCGCTTCGTAGTCTCCTGAATATCGCTTATATCCTGCCGCAGTTTGTTAATTGTTTCTGTATCTGTGATACTAAATGACGGGTCAAACAAACCAATGATATCATAGTTGTGGGGGCCATTTTTGTCGGGGAAGGGGGAGGGAGTGAACTACTTGCCCAAAAAATTCTAGAAAGTTGCCCAAATTGTTATGAAACAGTCGAAGAGAAACAAGGGTCATACGATAAATTAACATTGGCCTACATGTGAAATAAATATTTCTTACACATGAATCTATCATATAAGCCCAAAAACACGTTAAAAGAAACAGCTGTCTCTGCCATTTCGACGGCTAAAGATATCAATGATACAATCCATTGTTGACTACAGAGTTGGCATATGCCCTTTTACTGTTAATAAATGCGATGTTACTGACACGTTGTTGCTCCATAGTGCTACAGAGGTAAGTTTTCAATCGGTGGAACGGACTGAATGCCCGTTCTGTGGATCACGATGTAGCAGGTATCACTGCAAGAATATGTACCACTTTATAACACTCTGGAAACGTATCAAATAGATCATTCTCGTGTACAACCCTTAGCATCTCTGAAATAGTCATCAGTGTGGCCTAATCTGCGCACACGTTGCAAACTCGCGTACATGTTCTACAGGTTTCCAGAATTTCGACGTCGATTTTGTAAAATTTAGTAACACGAAAGAAGCTTTCTTCATTTCGGTCAGCACCATGTCGATGGACGCATAGTAAGTGTTCATACGGTGGTGCGATTCCGATGTTAGCTGCGTTTGTCTTTACACGTGACCAATTACAAAGTCTTGAAGGCTGCGCGTTGGCGTTTCTCAGAGTGCCCAGGCTTCTCGTAATTCAAACTGAGAACTGGTTAACCACCATTTGCCATACGCTATTGAAACTTTCTTCACTACGACACTGGCGTATGGTCTGTATGGTCATGTCGGCATTTCTACAACTGCAGATGACATCGACCGTCTTCCCTGAAGATAATGGCACAGACTATGAGTGTTGTTCAAAATTATACTCAGCACTCACAGTCCGAAGATGGATTTAACTGAATTTACCACGCCTACTTAAGCTTCAAATAAAAAAATATCGCTTTCATAAAAAAAAAAAGACGAAGTAAACGAAACATGGAAACTTTTGCAAAAATCGGTTTTGCCAAAATTTCTCTTGCTGCCCAAAAAATTTGAGTTGCCTCCCAGGGGGAGGGAGGGGGGACGGTGGCAGTCCCCTGATCCCCTGATCCCCCGGCCCGTACGCTCATGGGTGCTATCACCTGTTTCTTCAATCAAACACATTGTAGTTTCAGTCAAATTTGATATCATGGAGACGGGTTTGTAATTTGTATCATCATTAAATGTCCATAGATTTTGAACACACCACCTCAAGATAAGCTTGAGTTTAGCATGCAGCGTTCGAAAAGGTTTATACTATTTTAAAATGGATCCAATAACATGAATATCGAGATCGAGCGAAGGACAAATGAACATTATATTACAGACTATATCGAACTTTCCTTCTCAATATTTCTCGTTTGATCAGAGTAAGTAGATTTTGTGGCCCAGATTTTTCTGCGTAATTTCCTGAAAATGAGTGAAACATTGGTCTGTTGGTCAGTACGTGCTTCATTAGTGAACTGATAAGGATATCACAGCCAAGTTGTTTACCAGGTGTGTGGGTTCGAGTAGCTTCAGACATCCTTATCATTTAGCTCAAGCGCTTTTTAATTTAGATTGTTATTTTGACATGATAACTAACAGTTTGCATTTAATGACATTCGGCAGGATATAAATAGGCACGTACATAAGGAGACATTTTGCAGTGAAGTCTTGTAGATAAATGAAACGCCTAAAACAGTGGTAATTAGTAGAAACATCACTTCCGAGAACATACCAAAGAGAGACACACAAAAAAAATCGTCTGTAATTTGTACCACTGATGCACAAAAACAGATTTTGGAGATGAAAATATATCTCACCGCCTCAATGTAAGTATGAGTACAGTAATAGACTATAGAACAAATAAACATGATATCAGGCGCTTCATAGTCTCCTGAACATCTAAGGGTTGGAGCGCTTTTATCCTGTCGCAGTTTGTTAATTGTTTCTGTATCTGTGATATTAAATGACGGGTTAAACTAACCAATGATATCATAGGTGCAGGGGCCACTTCTTAATTTTCAGACCCATTACTGACGCTATTTGCCCAAAATGTGGGGGGGAGGGAGGGAGTGTTGGCAGCCCCCAATTCCCTCGGCGCCTATGGGTGCTATATCACCTGTTTCTTCAATCAAACACATTAAAGTTTTAGATAAATTTCATATCAGTCAGACGTCTGGTCAAAGCGTGAATGCTACTTTGTCACAGACCAACTGGAGACTGTATGTGTGGTACAAAGTCTTAATGATGATGGAGATCATGGAAAGATTAAGGAACAGAAATATCCAGAAAATGCAGTGAAATAAAATCAAGTGTTAGAGCCAATTTTTCATGGCCATCTCTGAAAGGGAATGTTGAGAAATGCCGCCAAACTAAAAATATCAATTAACAATTCTGCGCATTCAAGCAGGCAGGAAAAGTACAAGGTCATCATCAAATTATTTCCTGTAACATTCTTATAAAACATATTTTTTCCACTAAGACTGTCTTCTCGGCATATTTTATGGGATTTCTCATTTAGCAAGCAGCAGTCTGATACAACTTTTCTAAGTATTCATTCCAGCGAGAAAGCAGCACATAAGATTGTGTGAAAAATTATCTGAAGTATTGAAGACTTACATTCTAAAGATAAATTTTGTTATCCGATAACAGTAACAGATGTGACCCTAACGCTGATAAAAAAAAAACCTTTAAGTCTCGTAGAAAATATCGTTCTTAATTTTAACTACACAACACGAGTTTGCAACTTGTACCATTAATACACAAAAGCAGATTTTGGGGATGAAAATATATCTCACCGCCTCAATATGAGCATGAACACAGTAATCGACCACAGAACAATTAAACATGATATCAGGCGCTTCAGAGTCCACAGAAACGCTCTCCAGAACATCTAAAGGCTTGACCGCTTTTATTCCGCCGCAGTTTGTTAATTACAACACTGTTATCTGTGATATTTAATGGTGGGTCAAACAAACCAATGCTATCATGGGGCCGGTTCGTGCCATTTTTTGCCAAGGGGGGAGGAGAGGGAGTGAACCACTTGCCCAAAAAAATTTTGCAAGTTGCCGAAATTTTTATGAAACAGTCGAAGAGGAACAAGGGTCATACGATAAACTAACATAGGCCTACATACGAAATGAATATATTCTTTCCTATGAAAATATCACATGAGCCCAAAACACACGTTAAAAGAATTATATAGCTGCCTCTGCCATTCCGACGGCTGGAGATATCCATAATTCGATCCATATTTGACTACAGAGTTGCCATATGCCCTTTTAATGTTAATAAGTGAGATGCTACTGACACGTTGTTGCTCCATGGTGCTACAGAGGTAAGTTTTCAATCAGCGCCGGCTACGGACTGAATGATAGATCTGTGGAACACGATGTAGCAGGTAGGGAACGTATCAAATAGATCATTCTCGTGCATTACCCTAAGCATCTCTGAAACAGTCATGTGACCTTATCCGCGCACAAGACGAAAGCCGCGTACATTTTCTTCTCAGCTTCCAGAATCTCGTCGTCGATTTTGTAAAATTTAGCATCGCGGAAAAGCTTTCTTTATCAGGTGTTTCACTGTGACAGATATTTCCCAAAGCACAGATTATTTCCTGTTCTTTTGCACTGAACCTGGGCTCAAGCTCGGTCAGCACCTTGCCGATGGACGCATAGTAAGTGTTCATCCGGTGGTGCGATTACGGTGTCAGCTGCGTTTGTCTTTGCACGTGATCACCTACAAGGTCTTGAATGTTGCGCGATGATTCAAAATTCAAAATGAGAACTGATTTACTACTTCTTAATTGTAAGACTCATTGCTGACACTATCTGCCATACGCTTTTGGAACTTTCTTGACTATGACACTGGCGTAGGGTCTGAATAGTTATGTGCGCAGATGACGTCGACCGTCTTTCCCTAAAGATATCGGCATAGACTATAAGTGTTGCTCAGAATTACTCTCAGCACTCACAGTCCGCAGACGAATTTAATTGGCTTTACCACGTCTACTTAAGTTTAAACCAATAAATGTCTCTTTGAAAGAAAAAAAAAGGCGAAAAGAAACATGGAAACTTTTGTAAAAATTGGCATTGCCAAAATTTCTTTTGCTGCCCGAAAAATCTGAGTTGCTTAAAATTTGGGAGGCGGAGGGGTGAGGGGTTGACAGCCTCCCAGCTCCCCCGGCCCGTTCGCTTATGGGTGCTATCACCTGTTTCTTCAATCAAACACATTAAAGTTTCAGTTAAATTTGATATCATTGAGACGGGTCTGCAATTTGTACCATCATTGAAATGTCGACAAAATCTAACACACCACCTTATGATCAGTTTGAGTCTAACATGCGGCATTTGCAAATGTCTATACTATTTTAGAATGGATCCAATAACATGAATACCGAAATCGAGCTAAGGACAAATGAATATCATATCACAGACCATATCGAACTTTTTTTCTCAATATTTCTCGTTTGATCCGAGTAGGTAGATTTTGTGGCCCAGATTTTTCTGCGTAATTTCCTGAACATGAGTGAAACATTGGTCTGTTGGTCAGTACGTGCTTCATTAGTGAACTGATAAGGATATCACAGTCAAGTTGTTGACCTGGTGTGTGAGTTCAAGTAGCTTCAGACATCCTTATCATTTAGCTCCAGCGCTTTTTAATTAAGGTTGTTATTTTATAATGAAATTCGGTAGGATATAAATAGGCGAGTACATAAGGAGATATATATTTCAGTCAAATAACACGAGCTATTCACGGAAAGTTACCATCGGAGTATGGCGAAGCTTTTGATCCTCGCTGTTTTGTTGTTTTTCTCATTCAAAACTGGAATAAGTTCCGTGGGAACAACCACCAGTCCTCAACAACAAAATCCTCAAGCTGGCGCTGACAAAGACCCATGTGAGGTACTCTTAAGCATGCTTTATCCACGATTATTTACTACGAAATCGCATGTACTTGATGAAGCGTTCATTTGTCATACCTCAGTTTACCACTCATGTCTACCAAGCTAAGCAAAAAACAAATCCCTCATCAATCATGAGTTTCAAAGACAAAGGAGGACATTGCTTGAAAAAGTTTTCTGTTAGGAATATCTCCACAACGGTATGAGATCATCCAATGTTCCGCGCCGTTTCTCCTAAAACGAAGCTAAATTCTCAACATGATTAGCTTCTGAAGAAACTGCTGTGCTACTTCGGCGGACACGTAAATATTAATAAACATCACTGATGTTTATTGATATTTACGTGTCCGCCGAAGTAGCACAGCAGTTTCTTGATGTACGGTACATCCATTCAATAATTATATGTTCTTTCTTCTTTTTCAGAAATCCATTTTTGCTCACGGATTTTCTGGGATTCCAGGATCGAATGGCATACCAGGAATGCCGGGAATTCCTGGTGCCCCAGGGCCGCAAGGACAACAAGGAAAAGATGGAGCTAAGGGGGAGCCTGGTGTCAAGGGACCAAGAGGTATGACGGGGACAAGAGGACAAAAAGGAGACCCAGGGTCCCTTGGTAAAAATGGTGCACCTGGAATGATGGGAATAAAAGGAGATAAAGGTAATGAAGGGTCACGTGGCAGAAGTGGACCGCCAGGAATCAAGGGTGTGAAAGGAGAGCAGGGATCTAAAGGAGAGAAAGGAGAAATCGTGAATAGTGCAGTGTCACAGACCAACTGGAAACAGTGTGTGTGGAAAAATCTGAATGATAATAGAGATAGTGGAAAGATTAAGGTACAGAAATATCTAGAAAATGCAATGAAAAATGAATTGAGTGTTAGAGCCAATTTGTTAGGCCATCCTTGAAATAGACTTGAGAAATGCCGCCGAACTAAAAATAGCAATTAACAAATTTGTGCATTTTAGCAGGCAGGAAAAGCACAAGGTCATCATCAAATTATTTCCTATAACACTCTTGTAAATCATTTTTTTGCACTATGACTGTCTTCATGGCATTTTTTATAGGATTGCTCATTCAACAAGGTGCAGTCTGAGACAGCTATTAAAGTCTCATTCCAGGGAAATATGAGAGTCCAAGGCACTTCTTCTAAATGCAACCGGTGGTTCTTCAAGTTTAATGGAAATGAATGCAGTGGACCAATGACAATTGAGGCTGTTGTGTTCAACTATTGGCCATCTGGGAGTCCTAATCTGCTTCATCACAGATCATTTGAGGGATACTGTGAAAACATTCCACAGGGCAGGGTTACTGTGGAGTTATGGGTAGGACAGTGTCCCAGTGGTCATACACTGGGTGATGCTGCCACTGGATGGGAGTCAGTATCTCGGATAATGATAGAAGAAGTGTCTAGAGCCCAGTCCTAATCAGCCCTGACATCTTCACCTGAGGACTGGGATAGAATATTTTCTTTTCCATTTATCCATTATTTAGATTTCATTATTTTCTTACATTTCCCATACCGCCCGATAATTGAGTTATCGTTTATTGTCACAGATACTCTTTTGCCTTGATAATGTTGGATGTTATGAGGATTCCTTAACTCCAATTTAAACCTTCTGTTTCTTTTTAATTACATGTACTTTTAAACGACTGTGAATATATGAAAGTCATATATTTGAACTGCGGATAAAGACGTGAAAATGAAAGCGATCTTCGCAGTAATGAACACTACTTAAGCAGTAGTGAAAATTTAGCCTGGAAAAAATTCAGACCTGTACGGGATTTGAACCCATTAACCTTTGCGATACCTGTACCGGTTAAGATACCTTCATCTCCTCCTGAAAATGTTTTCCTGAATTATTTTGAGTTTGTCTCTGCTTTGCAATAGAACTGTTTAACATGTGTTAGTCAACAAAATAATAGTTTCTTGAATCATTAGTGATACAACTGTATGTGTAAACCAGATATGATCTCTCACCTTTTTCCATTATTTCTATCATCTTTTTCTAAGTATCTTGAAAAGTAGTCTTGAAACACTTTAAAGATATTAAATGAAGACAAAAGATTTGTTGTGTGATCACAAATTGAAGGGAAAATGTTCATCATGGAATCTCACAACTGATTCAATATTTTTTTAATTGAATTGTATTCACAACTAGTTTCTTTTTATGGAAATATATTTTCTCCATCCTGTTTGTTCTAGAAACTCCTTCGGATCTGGGGGTACATCTGGAATTTCCCTTAAAATAAAAAGTGAATACAAAATGTCAAAGGGTCAGTGAGCACAGAGAGCCTAAGCTCATAACAAGAGTATCTATAATTTTCCTTTTAGTCAAACGATGAGATGTATATTGGCGGTTTAATTAAGCAAAACATTACTCTTGCCTTGCAGAAGAAGTCTGTTGTATTAGCGAGTTTGAAAAAAATTTTAGTGAGCAAAATATGGAATTATTGTAGATGTTTAAAATTCATGAGTATAAAATAAACTCCCTTTGTTTAATCTCTTTTTATTGTCCTTTACTTACTTGATCTTACTCATCAAATCTGAATCCAATTAGGTAAGTTAATAAAACATCTTATTCCCATTTTCCTGTTTAATCCTCACTCATTCCCAGTCCTTAGTCACTTTTTGTAACATAGAGCAGAGGAGAATTCAGTTGGAAGCTGATTGTGAAGTTCAAGAAAGACAACTTGGAATAGGTCATTCTAATTTTTCCCCCTTTCGATCGGGGTTTCCATGCCTGAAAGAGGAAAATTTCCGCTAACAAAGAACTTCCCCTAAAAATTGTAGTTCTAGTTGATTATTGACAATTAGTGAAACCTACAGTCAATTCCATTTACAAATGTTTTATGTGACGGCTCAGGAGAACAAAAAAAGACAAATCTTGAGAATAAAGAGTCAAGTTTCTAGACTGCTTACAAACAAATATAACTCAGCTGATCTTTCACTCAAGTTTTGTTTCAGAAGAGGGTGGCAAAGGGGGGGTTCCAATCACACATCACGTTGAATTTTTTTATCGAATCACGCATCACGGGTAATTTTTTTTTAATCAATCACGCGTCATGTAGAAAGGAGTAAGTACACTAAGCTAACACTGTAAGATTTCAACCTATCGGATGTATTATTGAAAATTATATTGTATCCAACGATTTTACTCTGGAATGAATTGCGTTTCACTTGTCATATTGCTTTTTGTTAGACAAATAAGGATGATTTACTTGTTGAAACTAGACAACCAAGCAGTCGACAAAAAGAACACTGAAGATAGTCCCTGTGCAAATGTTAACTACATTAACTTATGCATATTGTGTTACGATTGTTTGGACCTACCTGGAAGATCAAAGACATCAAAGGTCAGGCGAAGGTCAGCAAAGGACGGAAAAGAGCAGAAAAACATCCCACAGGGCAAGGTGACCGTTGAATTATTGGTAGGAAGATGTCCCGGTGAATCACTGGGTAAGGCTTACATTGGATGGTCATTATTGTCCCATATAAAGTTAGAGGAAGTGTCAAGAGCCCAGACCTGATCACTCCTATCGCCTGCACTTAAGATGACTTTTCAGCATTGCACTGTGCATCATGCACTGAGCATCATGCACTGCGCATAGATATCAAGTAATCAATTGAATAAGTGTTGGTTTTCAGGCAAAGGACGAGGTAAACAGCTACTACGAACGTTTTTAGTCGATGTCGTTTAAAATCGGTTAATTTTTTCCATAAATTAAAAAACAAGCATCACGAGCTATTTTTTATTGCATTTTTCGAAACAGACCTTGGTAGGGAACATCTAAGGAAAGTTTAACTTTTTTTTCATTCTTCCATCATCGTGATTTTCTAGATTGTCTCCAATTTTCAATATCGCAAGATATTTGTCTAACTTTTTGTTAGCAACAACTTTTGCTCTAAAAATATTCCTGTTACGATTCCATTACTCCACAAAAAAAGCTGGTATTTTTAACAAACTTGACAATTTAATCCCCTCCCTAAGTTTTTCCTGAGTAATTTCCATCCGTTTGTTTTCGCATTAAACCTGACATGTGAAGTGCTCTCCCCTATTTTATGCACAGCAGGTAAAATAAATGTCTAATACGGAAGAGTAGTCCTTATACCTGATTAATTATAAAGAATTTAAAGGAATGTAAGGCCTCAACACGACATACTGTAGGCGGTAAATTAGGTAGTTCCTGCCTGTGAAGGAAAACTGAGCATGTTTTAATAAAAAAAGACAGTTTTTTTAATCATTAGTGATACAGCTGTACATGCTTCATTTCATGTCGGCTACATCGCCAACCAGAAAGGATCTCTCACTGTTCATCATCATTTCCTTCGTCTTTTTCTCAGTTCTTGCAAAATAGTCTTGAAACCCTTCAAACACATTGATGAAGAAAAAGAGTTGTCCCTTGTACACAAAAGAAAAATGTTTATCACAGTCTCGCAACTGAGTTAGCATGTTTTCAATTAAATTTTATTTACTAGTCTCTCTTTAAAGAGACATATTTCCTCCATCCTGTTTGCTCTGGTAAGTCCTTTGAATCTGGTGGCACATCTGTGATTTACTGTCGATAAAAAGTAAATACAAAATGATTAAGGGCGAGCAAGCACAGAGAGCCCAAACTCATAAAAATAGTATCTATTATATTTCCTTTAGTCAAAACATGAGATGTGAAATGAAATTTTCATTAAACTAAACATCACTCTTGCCATGCAGAAGAATGATGCAGTATTATACAAATCTGCATAGCGTAATCTAACGTATTAAAGAAGTACTGGGATTTACTCAGTGTAAACTCACGTACCGAATAAAAATCGTTTTCTTTGATGAAAAGCAATCCCATTGGTCATGGGATTTTTCTCGTTAGTTAAAAATATCGTTTGACTAATCAGAAGGGTAATACGGTTTTTTTTCACAAGTGGGAAAATTGTATCGGTTTTCCCGCCTTTTGGAGCGGCATGCGAAATAATTGAGAGTGAATGTCTGCAACGCTCCTGAAGGTAAGATTAAATTTTTCACCCGTATTCAGTGCATAATTTTGATAGCATAACTGCATAATTATAATAGCAAGAGCATCGAAGATAATGCCGAAATAATGACGTAAGTTAAAAAAAAATCCCTATGGTGTTACACTTTGACAAAAGATGAATTCTGTAGCCTGAGTAATGGCCATAATGAAACTGCTTTTCTTGCTCCCACTTAAAGAATTTGCAAGTTTTTCCTTCTGATAGTAGGAATGGGGAGGGGAGAGGGATGGGGAGGAGAGAGGGAGGGGGAGGGAGGGGGAGGGAGGGGGAGTGCACGCGCTTATTCAACTGATTACGTGATATCTATGCGCAGTGCATGATGCGCAGTGCATGATGTGCAGTGCATGGCGCGTAGTGCAATACTAAAGAATCATGAGCTCATACATTGTTATTTTGAGCTTATTGAAAAATTCTAAGCATGATGTTTGGCATAACGCCATTTTTCCAGGGGGAGACACTCGAAAACAATGTTACTCGAAACTAATCTGAAACTAAATGCCACTTTCAATGAGCATACGCTGATCATACATGAGCGTGTGTGTACAGGAAGACGGATAATTCAGGTCTTCAAGAACGCCATACTGAACATCTAAGCTAATTAAAGTGTTGACATGTCTTAAAAGTATTGTCCAATAGGAGATTTTGTTTTAAATCGCACACAATTTTCAGAATTTTCAACACAAAGCTACTGAAACTCAGGCCGTGAATTCGAGTAAACAACGATTCAAGCATGGTAAATCTATTACGCGAATCTTTTACATGCAAGAAATTGGTACGTTTTTTTTTGCTTCTAAGCAGTAAATTTAGCTTTCCTTTAAAAGTAGCTTTAGTCTGGAAAATTTTCTTGGTCTAGAAGCTTAGGATGATCTTAGCTTCGTCTCGAACAACTCACGAGTCTCCCGTGCTCTCCAAGCCTCCCGCATGTATCCATGGCATATCTGGATATACGCACGCTAAGCATGAAGAACATGATACATCCTGCACTGCAACTGAGGCGAGCTCGTGACCGATCATCTTCCTCAGATGCCAAGTCATAAACACGGCCATGCTGGTTGTCTTCTGATGATCTTCATGGATGATCATGGATAATCACAACTTCTGGGAAGCTCTAGGAAATTCACCCAATAAGGAAACAAGGAGAGGAAATAAAGCTGTTTTCGATAACACCGTACCTTATCACATCCCTTCTGAAATCACTGGTCATTTGGTCAAAGGCCAAACGGAAATCATGTCACTGACCATATCAAATATCTCTTCCTCCTTAATATGTCACGTTTGATCAGAGAAGGGATGCTACGTGGCCTGGATTTTCCGGGTAATTTCTCTGAATTTATGTAGATTACGTGCTTCATTAATAAACGTGATAAGGATATCATAGTCAAGTTATTTACCCGTGTGTGATTTCGAGTAGTTTCAGACTTCCTTTCCATTTGACTAGCTCCATCGCTTCCTTGTTAAAATTCTTATTTTAGAATGGTAGCTGAGAGTTTACATTTAAAGGAAATTCTTTAGGATACAAAAAGGCACGTACAGAAGGAAATGCTTCACAACGTATTCATTATCATTATCAGTATACAACTGTATTCATTAACACGCCAGCTAGATCAAGTAACAGATACTTAACAGTTTCGTTTGCTAAATTGAAAGATTTTGTTAAACTTCTTTGAGGTTAAATTTTGTAAAATAAACAAAAGGTCAATATGCTTAATTAAGAACTAAGGTTGTACTAAGAAATGTTAAATATATTTCAGAGAAAAATTTACCTCTGTTCCAGAGGAGATCTAACAAAGCAGTCATGAGGTACTGTAATAGTTCTTGACTGACAAATGATAACTCGCCCCTTCAAAAAAGCGTTAGCTAATAAAAAAAAAAAAAACCTCGACAATTTTCAATGAGCATGCGTTATCTATACGTGAGTTTATGTACAGGAAGATAGACAATTCATGCAGTTTTCTAATTCTCTGAAATGAGCTTGAGGTCTCCAGGAACACCATACTGAACATCTGACGGCCTGGCCGCTTTAATACTGCCGCATTTTTCTAATTACAACACGGTTTTCTGTGATACTAACGACTGGCCGGGTTAAAATAACTAAAAATATCCCACATTTCCTCAATCAAAAACATTATTGTTTCAGTTTAACAAGATTTGCAGCATGAGGCGTCTGAAATTTGTACCGTTAATACATATGGTTAAGTTTGAAGATGAAAATCTAT